AAAAAAAAAAAAAAAAAAGAAGCGAGAGCCAATCAGAAAGGGCAGAGAAGAGGCGCTCACCAATCTGAAGGCGCGTTCCATCAGCGCTGGCAGTGACGGGAGCGCTCCCTAGTGCCGGGAGTGGGGGCTCTGGACTGGGCCGCGCGCGACAGCGGGACGTGGCCGAGGGTGCGCGGGGCGGCCGGGTGCTGTGCGGCGCGAGGATCCCCCCCCCCGGGCCGTGCCCTGCCTGCGCGCGGACCATGACCCGCAGCTGCTCCGCTCTGGGCTGCACCACGCGGGACACCGGGCTGAGCCGGAAGCGGGGCATCTCCTTCCACCAGTGAGTGGGGCGGGGGCCCCCTCAAGCGCGGTGGCTCGCGCTGACAGGGGACACCGGGGGGCTCCCCTCAGCCCCGCGCGGACAAGTCAAACCGCCACGCGTGGGCTTCAGCAGGGCCGCACCCACGCGACCAGAATCACGAGTCACCTCCGCCCCCCCACCCCCAGCTTAAACATCGAGAGATGGGGGGCGGGTGGAGAGAGGCACCTGAGCAGGTGGGGGGGGGGGCGCCTTCCCCCGCAGCCGCCTTCAGTGGATACCTGGAAGGTATTTTTATAATGGAAAAAGGCGAGATTTTCTCCTCATCCCTGGACTCCAGGAGCTGGGACTTGAAGAGAAAACACCAACCACCACCAGCAGTTGGCGTGAGGCGACCTGCCCGGGGGCAATATTTTGAGAACCCTGGAGTGGGGAGGGAAGGCTAGAGCTTTAGGACGTGGTCTAAAGAGCCCGAGCCCTACTGGCATAGACTGGAGGGATGTGGCCGCTCGGCCACACCTGAGTTTTAAAGAGTTAAACAGCCTTGGGATCTACACCTTCCCCACTGAAATCCCCGTAAATCATTGTGGCTTCACAATCCTCTTTCCCTCTGTTTCCCTCTCCTCTGCTGCAAAGTGAAAGATGCCACCCGCAACATCAAAGAAAATGACAATAAGCGTAAATGCTGCAATGACTCTTAGAACTGCCAAAAGAATTATAAAACATTCCTTTGTCTTTGGTACATTTAAAAAAAAATATTGGTACCAGCTCAATCCCTGGTTGAAAAACAGGGTGATGGTGGTGAGGATATATGTTCATAAACATTTTGCCCTGTTTTTCAAATTTTGCCATTTTAACCATTTCAGCAAGCTCTACTGACAGTGTTCTCAAATGCACAAAATAAAATTGAAAAAAAAAAATTATTCTCTTTCTTTTATAGTAATCTTAGGGGGTACCTGTAATTACAGGAGATTAAGTATTTTCAGACAGATTTTGTTTTTTAAAATTGTGAGTAGCCTTTTCAATTTTAAACTGAGATTTTATAATTTGACCCAGACTGTTGAGTAATATTTCAGGCCCCCAGAGCGGTCTGTAAAACCTCAGAACTTTCAACTACAGATACCACAGGCACAGGACTTACCTATGAAAATTATTATGCTGAAGAGAATTAAAGGAAAACAGAGAGTCCTAGCAGGGCCTGATCCTGAAAATATTGTAGCTTTACTCAAGTGAGTAGTCCCATTTGCGTGGGACTGTCAAACTTACACATGTTTAAGTGTTCGCAGGATTGGAGCCATAGGTCCTGAACTACTGATCCCTACAATTATCTGCCCTTACTGAAAATGAAGGCTGAATCCATTATTTGAGTTTAAATAAAATTGAAATTATTTTTTATTTCAGATGTGTGGGGGGGGTGGGGAACAGGAGAGCACATGGGTCTGCTAAGAAAAAGATCTCAGGCTTTTCAATTCTCCATCATAGGCAGGTATGATTTTGAGGCCTTGATCTCACACATTAACATTGCATTATTGTTTTCCTTATCTCCAATGCAAAAAAATTAAAGTCCCAGTTTACTAACTGTTTAGTGTCACTTACTAATCAACATAAGAACAGCCATACTGGGTCAGACCAAAGGTCCATCAAGCCCAATATCCTGTTCTCTGACAGTGGCCAATGGCAGGTGCCCCAAAAGGAATGAACAGACAGGTTATCATTAAGTGATCCGTGCCCTGTCACCCAATCCCAGCTTCTGGCAAACAGAGGCTAGGGACACCATTCCTGCCCATCCTGGCAAATAGCCATTGATGGACCTATCTTCCATGAATCTGTCTAGCTCCCTTTTGAACCCTGTTGGCCTTCACAACACCCTTTGGTAAGGAGTTCCAGAGATTGTCAGTGTGTTGCATGAAAAAATACTATCTTGTGTTTGTTTTAAACCTGCTACCTATTAATTTCATTTGGTGGCCCCTTGTTCTTGTATTATGAGGAGTAAATAACACTTCTTTATTTACTTTCTCTATACCACTCATGATTTTATAGACCTCTATCATATTCCCCCTTAGTCACCGCTTTTCCAAGCTGAAAAGTCCCAGTTTTATTCCTCTCTCCTCATATGGAAGCCGTTCTATACCCCTAATCATTTTGTTGCCCTTTTCTGAACCTTTTCCAATTCCAATATATCTTTTTTGAGATGGGGCGATCACATCTGCACGCAGTATTCAAGGTGTGGGCATACCATGGATTTATATAGAGACAATATGATATTTTCTGTCTTATTATCTATCCCTTTCTTGATGATTCCCAACATTCTGTTCGCTTTTTCGACTGCCGCTGCACATTGAGTGGATGATCTCAGAGAACTAGCCACAATGACTCCAAGATCTCTTTCTTGAGTGGTAACAGCTAATTTAGACTCCATCATTGTATATGTATAGTTAGGATTATGTTTTCCAATGTGCATTACTTTGCATTTATCAACATTAAATTTCATCTGCCATTTTGTTGCCCAGTCACCAAAATGGCAGATGAAATTTAATCATGGGTAACAGTACACATACATCCTGATTCTTCCCCACTCACTTGTGTTGAGTTGTATCTTATGAGATGAATAAATTGCCCCTTACTTACATACACATATATGTCCATTCTGATCCTTTAGTTCCCATTGTCTGCAGTGGTGCAAGATCAAACCCTGTTAGCATGCACTTTTACACCAAAGCTTGATCCTGCAGCTACTCTATGGATGAAACCCTCATTAACTTCAGCGAGCAAGGACTCAGATATATATATATTTTTTTACATTCCCAACTTTATTTGCAAATGGTCATAGTTTTGTGAGCTTAAAAATAAAGTAATTCATCTGTAATTTGATTCCTCTGTAGATATTGACTATGTCGATTCACATCCCAAAAATAAGGAATGTAATATATTTCAAATCTAGCAAATGTACTTAATTCAGGACTCTTTCCGTGCTCAGTCCTTAACCCTGCAATTAGATGTGTGCAGGTGGACCATTCCCAAGTCTGCTTGCACCTGGCAGTTTAGAGTCCTAAATTTGAACTTTCAGAATTCAGCTTTTATGATTTATCTCCATGGGGAAAAGCACTGTTGTATAACCCCAGAACAAAGTTTTCCCAAATGTCATCACTCTCTTCTTCCTCCACCCTCCCACACCCCCAAAAATTACATTTGGGCAGTACCAAGTATATGTGATTTCAGCCTGAATGCTGAATTTTTCTGAAAGTGAAAGTGTGCAGGTGAAAAATAGCATCTTTTATAACTGCTATATTTTGAAAAAGATAGCATGTATGTTTGAAAGAGACCCAGTCAAAACAGACAGAGGTCCAGGTGGATAGACCGGAGAAGGGAAGACGTCTTGCAGGCCTCCTCCATGCATGGATCTCCATCTGAATCCCTAATATTTCAGGGTAGATTAATATTGCATTTGCAGAGTACATGCTGGGGCATCTCACAGAGTGGGGTTCAGCAATTAAGCAATCCTAACTGCACAGGTAAGACCTGCCTGATCTCAGAAGTGTTCTGAAGTGCTCCTTAATCAGTTTAACTGGGGAATTTGTAACTGTAAAATTGTAACTTTTCAAAACCAAAGTATTTGAATATTAAGGACACTTTTTCTGCTTTTTTACGCCTTTTATCAATTTGGAATGATACCATTGCCTTCAATGGAATTACTCAGGATTTACAGCAGTTTAACAGAGTAGAATTTCGCTCTGACTGTATTATGAGAGAGCTCTGCTCATGTTTCAGGTTTCCCATTGATGACATACAGCGTACAAAATGGATCCATGCTGTTAATCGAGCAGACCCCAAAAGCAAAAAGGTTTGGATTCCAGGACCTGGTGCCATACTGTGTTCCAGACATTTTGCAGAAGCAGACTTTGAATCATATGGTATGAGAAGAAAACTAAGGAAAGGAGCTGTACCTTCTGTTTTTCTATACAAGGTAGTTTAAAAGAACTTTTAATGCAATTACCATTTTTAATAGGTTGAAAACGCATTAGAAACCTTAAAGACAAATACTAAAATTTCTTGAAAAATTGAGGTTGCAACTCATGTTGTAAGGCTACAGCAACACAAGTGGAAACTTCTTAGTTTATTTTATGCTGTGTCACAAATACACTTGAAAGAGGGATGGGGGAAGGAAAACATTCTTTATAAAAGCCATTTTGAATAATTTTAAATACATTGCTGGCATTAGTGCTCTTTCAGTTTAAACTTAAATAACCCTCATCCTGCTAACAGCTCTTCTGAAACTACTATTGCTTAGAAAGAATCTTGTCTTTTTCTAGTAAAGCAACTAAATCTAAGACAGTTTTGTTCTGATCTATCAATTCTAGGTAACTTGATTCCTGCCATGCCCATGAAAAGTACAGTAAAAATACAACCCTCTTGTTACTGTACATGTGTATTTTTTTCTCATTTATATTTAAATATTTATTCTAGTAGGCTTTCATGCCTACTGGGGGTGGTCATTGTTTGAAGGATGAGGCTATAACCATGCTCAGGGGAAGGGTGATCTTTTGGCTAAAGCACAGATACAGGGGTGTTGTGAGATTTCATTCATGAGTATTTGGAAAGCGCTTTGAAATCCCCAGATTGAAGGCATTTTTATATATGTGCAAAGTGTGGTATAACATTCTAATATCTATTTAATCGATTGTGGAAATAATATAGCTCTCTGCACTTACTTGAAGCTTTTTATAACAAGCATTTCTGATAATTAATGATAGGAAGAATCTGACAGTTGAATTTTTGAATTGCATTACACCATACCTGTCTCCTTTTCCATCACACCAGCAGTCTCTATATTTTATAGGCTTGTTACACCTTTGTTTTTCCTACATTCCAGATATCGTCCCAAATTTTAGGTCACATCCCCTATTTTCTGAATTATTCCCTGGTGTATCTCTGCTAATTTTATTCATCCCTTTCAGAATTTCAAAAGCCTCTCTTTTATAGTATTAACAAGACTGGCTCTCTTATTCTTTCCTTGTAATTTATTTCAATGTTTTTCAAACAGTGAGTCCCAACTCACCAGTGGGTCATGGGACTTTCTAGATGGGTTGCAGGTCCCTAGGCAAACATACACTTCTTCCAGGCTGGAGCAGAAGGAAGGCCATGGGGGAAAAGGGATTTGGAGAGCAAACCTGCCCCGCCCAAACCCCACATCAGCAGCTCCTGTTCTGCAGGGCTGGTCCCAGTTCCCTGTTCTGGGCATTGCAACCTGGCACATGGGATCACAGTGCTATTTATGGTTGGTCTGGGTGCTCCTCCATCATAAGGGAGGGGTGGCTGGGCCAAATTTCTGGGAGTGGCATTGTGGCCTGCCACATGGGATCGCAACGCTGGGCCAAACCTGAGGAGCATTGTGATCCCATGTGCCAGGTTGCAACGCCTGGATTGGGGAGCCAGGTCCAGCCCTGTGGCACAGGAGCTGCCACTACAGGGTAAATGTGGAGCAGGCTCGCTCTCTAACCACCACTACCCCTGCCCCTTGGGGCCTCCCCTTTGTATCCGGCCAGGATCAGGGTTGAGGTTCAAGGTGGAGGGTGCATGTATCTAACAATGTCCCTTATTAAGAGTCTGGGAACCACTGATTTGATTGTTGAGATCTGATGGCATCTTTTTTGTCCGGTGTAGTATCTTGAGACAATAATATCCTTATGCCAGAAAAACTTGTACAGTACCCAGCATTCAGATATGAGGGGAGTAAGTCCAAAAAAGACCTTTCTTAGAAATATCAGCACTTCCTATTTTTCTGTTAATACAACCAAGAATCTGGCTTGCATTGTTTCACTATAGATGTGCACTTGTTTCAAGTATTTTCCCAGATAATAAGCCCCATATTCTTTTCTGTATTGTAGGATCCTCTGAGTACATATCTTAGAAATAGAAGATCCCAGAAAGCATTAAAGCAGCCACTCTCACATAATTCTCCTGATGAGGAGGTCATTACTGCAGATCACAACTATAGCTTAAAGAATCCTGCAACGGCTGCTGAGCAACAGACAGAAATGAAAGAAATAATACAGTTGCCTCAAAAGAAACTTGTTGCAGCACGAAGGTGTCTCTCATACCGAGAACGAAATGTCTTTAGTGTAATCAATGAGCTTGCAAAGAAGAAGCTGCTCTCTGAAGAAGCTATGAGCCTGCTGCAGGCCCAGTTTTCAGGTATTAAGGGCATTGGTTAGACAGTAAACTCTTCAGTGCAGAAACTGTACATTTTTTTCCAGTGCCTACCACACTGGGACCCTGATTTCAGTTGGGGGCCTCTAGGCACTAATGAAATATAAAAATAAGAACCACAACCAAAAGGCTTTTTCTTGAAGATGCTGTATCTCTAATTGGTTACTAAAAGTTACACAATATCGGCCTGTCCTCCAAGGTTTTTAGCTCCCTCAGCTTGTACTGAAATGAAGGTGAGTTGGGGATATCTGGGTTGCGAGTAATGTTAAATATTAAGTGCCACCCCTGTCTAGAAAGCAAACAAGTCGGGATAAGACAGAATCCACTGCAACACCCAGAGAAAGAGGCTAGCATAAGCGAGAGAGTTCTGGCAGGGGCATGGAGGATTTAATTCCCTTTCCCCCTTCTGTAGGAGAGGGAACTCAGCAATCGTCTGAATTTTGCTTTATTGCAACAAAAGTGCTTGAGTGATAGCACTTGGGCATTAGGCTTGTGCCTTGTCAAACACAACTTTCTTTTTTCTTGCCGTGTATCTCATGCCCTGCAATGTAGAGGCATTTTTCATCTGAATTAAATGATCAAACTGTTCACGCTTCTTACCAAAGCTGATCTATATTTTTAAAAACAGATTTGCAGTGGGAGCCATACAGCTGGAGACAGATGACTGAGTACTCCACAGAAATGAGGCAGTTTGCCTGTACTCTCCACCTCTATAGTAGTAAAGCCTATGATTATGTAAGAAAGAATTGTCCCCTGCCTCATCCTTCCAGCCTGACAAAGTGAGTATTTATTCTCGTTATCTCAAATTCTATTTCCAGGTTGTCCTATAATAAGGAAGAGATGGAGTGTTCAGAGTAGAGATTTCATAAAAACCAATTCAACGTGACACCTACACTATTGTCTTACATTTTAATTATTTGTAACAAAGAAGCTAAACAGAAGAGGCTGCGATTGTTACAGGAATATTAACTCATGTCAGAGTATGTTGTTGGGGGGAGAGGGAGGGAGGCTGTGCAGAACAGTTGCACCATCAGCAAGTAACACATCCAAAGATTAAATTTACAGTAGCAGAGGTAGTCAGAAGCATGCTGCATTCTTCCAAGTGAGTGACCACTGGGGAAAGATAGACATCAAGTGCTTGACTTTGATATCTGTATTCATTTCAGCATATAATAGAAAGGGAACAAATACTAAAATGCGATGACTACTTTCATTACTATTATTTACATAGTGCCATGAGTATGCATGGTATTTTGCAAACACAAAGCATGACCTTGTCCCTGACATGAGGAGTTTACAGTCTAAGATCCAGATCCATTGACTTCAGTGAGAGGATGACTGGGCCAAATACTAGATAGAGAACAAACTGTAAAGATCAGTCCTGGAGAGGGAGCAGACTGCACTAGAAGAGATCAGTGCCCACATTTACAGAAGTGTGTGCAGCACTGGTCAGCAGAAGATATTGAAGAGTTAGATGGGGTTCAGAGAAGGGAGATGAGAATGATTACAGGCATGGGAAAACACAACAACAACAAAACCACTTTCCTGAAAGGAGAGATTGAAAAGATTGGGATTGTTCTCCTTAGAAGGGAGAAGATAAGAGGGGACATGCTTAAAAGCATATAAAATAATGAATGTTAGAGAGGAAGTAGATTAGATGTCTCATGTAACACAAGAACAAGGGGACACACAATGAAGTTACACATTCAAAACTTATTGAAAGAAATACATTTTGTGTAAAAATAATAAGATTGTAGAACTCATTGCCACAGGAAGTCGTTGAGAATTTACTAAGATTCAAAGAGCTATTGACCTTTATATGGAGAACAAGAATATCCAGAATAACAGTTAATGCAAAAAAGTTTTGGATGGGATAAAAATCTCACGCTTTAGGATTTAACCAGTCTCCACTTATTAGAGGTCAGAATGAGACCTTCATATGGGACAGAATCTCACATCTGCCTACTGTGGGTTTCTTTCTGGTCATCGTCAGACAGGTTACTGAACTAGATGGACCACAGGTCTGATTCAGTATAGCAATTCCTATGTTATGACGGGAGGCCAAGCAAACGTACCAAGTGTGAAGGGGAAAGAGGGTAGGAGCTGTTCCAAGCATACAGGACAGCATGAAACAAATATATGAAAGTAGTATGAGGCAATAAAGGAACCATTGGAGAGAATGCCAGAGCATCAGACAGGTGGAGGAGAGGATGAAAGTTGAACTGTAGGAAAATACTGTTATGTTTCAGGCTGCAAAATGTATCATCCAGGTAAGCCTTATTACTTTATAAATGGATGGTATGTATATTAATTTGCATTAAAAGTCAAGTCAGCATTTTACTAAAGCCTGTTAGCGGTTTCTTTTTTTCCCCCTTAGATTATAGCTCCTAATTATTTATATCCTCTGTCTTCCAGCTGGTTGTCTAATGATGAAGGTAGTCCAGGCTTCAGCAACAGTATTTTCTTTCACCTTCAGCAGAGAGTAGAGCAAGGAGAACAGGCATACCAGTATTGCTCACTGATGATCGAGGGTATGGCTCTCAAGAAACAGCTGGAGTGGGACCCTGTGACTCGACGTCTGGTTGGGTTTGTAGACCTAGGTGCAGGAGCACTTGATGCTGATGAAGCACCACTGGCCTCAGAAGCTATAGTCCTAATGGCAGTAGGTGTTCTTGGTCACTGGAGAGCTCCCCTGGGTTATTTCTTTGTAAATGGAACCACTGGCCATTTACTAGCTCAACTGCTTTATCAGACCATCAGCAAGCTGACTAACATAGGTATCAGAGTTCTCTCTGTGACATCTGCAGCCACTGCTCACGGTGTTGAGTTGGCAAAGGCGTTGGGCATCTGTATTGATGCCAACAACATGCAGTGCACTTTTCAGCATCCTCACAGTGCCACTCATCAGATCACATATTTCTTTGATGCTTGCCAAATGCTCCAGTTAATAAGGAACGTGTTTCAGTGCTTTCACAGGATACAGTCCATTAATGAAACAGCACACTGGCAGCACATAGTGGACCTAGTGACTCTGCAGGAGAAGGAATTACTGCATATTAGTGACAGATTGTCAGGAAGACCCAGAAATAGTGAAAGCTGTCACTTGAGGGTGAACTACGCAGCACAGCTGTTCAGTGAGAGTGTTGCTGGCACGCTGGAATGTCTCCAGTTGTTGGGCCTGCCTTCTTTTCAGAACTGCGGTGGGACCATCAAATTTGTGCGCTTGATGAGCTATCTGTTTGACATTTTTCACGGAAGAAACTGTTACGGAACGGGATTGAAAGGGCCTGTGTCCTCTGAAAATTATGCCAAGATACATCGCCTCTTAACGGAGGCTAAAAGTGTCTTTGTTGCATTAACTGACACTTCGGGGAGACACTTCCTGAAAGGTAAACATAAATTAGGATTTTTAGGTTTTTTGCTTAATGCTGAGAGCTTAAAATGGCTTTACACAAACTATGTATTTCCAAAGAGCATGCCCTTCCGCTACCTCCTGACTTACACATTCAGCCTAGATCATCTGGAATTATTCCTCAGCACCCTCAGACAAGCATTTGCTAGCTGCGATAACCCTACCTGCATGATGTTCCAGACTGCTTATTCTAAACTGCTGACCAAGTATAATTTGACACCAGGATTACATCAGAATCTTCTTTTAGGTGACATGAACACCTTAGATGTATCTATTGTTCGTAGGACAGATTTGGCCCTTGATACTATTCATTCTCAGTACAATCGGGGTTGTGTGGCGATTCCAACAAAGGACTACATTTACTGTACAAGCCATATTTCATTTAACTCTACACTGAGTTATGCATTGACAGATCTGTCACTATATGCAGAAAGCATCACCTATACTGCTGCCTGTGTTGCTGAGAAATTAGCAGCTGCCATAAGATGTGAAGTCTGTGTCACTTCTCTCTTCGTGTCAGATGACAAAATCCTAAAATGTGGTTCACTGTTGTGCATTAAAAAGATCGGGAGCTGGAGTTTGCCATCAGAGAGCGTGCATCAGATTGTAAGTATTTCTGAGCAAGTCCTAAAAACGCATGCAAGAGTGAAAGGCTATAACCTAAACCGCAAGCGACAGGATATGTATTTAGAACAGAAAATTTTATATGAGTTATCTGAACAGAGTCACCTTTTCTCGGAGTTAAATAATCACCTATTTGATGGGGAGTTGTGTGTCACCAATCACTACACAATGCTGTTAAGGAATATAGTGCAATGTTATTTAAATGTCAGAGCTGAACATGCAAAAAAATGGGGTTTGGAATACTGCTCTGGAAGGCATGGATCGAAGAAGTTGACTAGGAAACATCCATTTTCATCATCATTAAAGACTTATAAATCTATCCAAATCTTACCTGTGCCATAATTTCTTACTAATTTGTTAAATGATGGATGTTCCCTTGAGTAATGTTTAGATAAGGTCTGATCTAGGCAACACAGGTGTCGGAGAACTGAGATGGTTGTTTCACTTGACCTCTTGGCAATACTGTGTCCAGCAGTGGCTAGTAAAGGAGAGTCCTAGGAGGATTAACTGTACTAGGTTCCAGTCATGCCTGGGGTTAGAAGTGGAAAATGAGTTTCTCACCCTAAATTCTCATTTATGCAGATTGCACAACCACAACCTATTTTAGAACAACAATGTCTATGGAAGGACTAGATTATGGAAGCTAATGGAAATCCACATTGAGGTTCATTAGCAGTTATGTGGGGAAGCTTGCTGAATACCTGCCTATGCTATGCCTGGTTCTGGGTAGGGCAGTTGGCCCCTGACTATGATGAATACCAAGTTTACTCATACATGTTTCGAAAAGGGGCTGGTGGGAAAGAACTGATGGAGTACTATAGCAGCAGATAACTCCTTAGAGCTGCAGAAAAAATACTAAGAAGCAAAACAGCTTACACAAAGCTATTAAAAAAAATAAAATAAAGATTTGTACTAGAAACATGTTTTACTTGTACTTACTGATTACGTAATCACTCTGCCTTTCGCCCTTTAATTCCACTAAGAGCTTATTAGAAAAATAAAGGATTCCAAACTGCTTCCTTTAAATGCTTAAATCTGAACACGAATTAGGATAACATGAAGCGAAGAAAAGACCTTGATTTTGGCTACCCCAATGGGAAAAAAGTCAGTCAGGTAAGAAATAAAACTGATGGAATAGGATCAGATGCAGGGGATCTGTCACAGAATGGAATGGATAGAAAAAAAAAGACTTGTTTCTCGATACAGGATTCTACAAAATACTATATACAGGGTGGGGCCAGATAATTAATCCTTGAAAATATTTAGGAAGTAATATCTGCAGATGTGCTTGCCAGTGTAGGAGGTATCCTGCCTTGGGGAGCTTGAAATCTAAAGACAGAATAACTCAGGACCCAGTAGGAGACCTAGTGCACAGTGTTGGCGAGAAACTTTTGGTTTGCTTGTTTCCTCCTCTTAATAAAATGTGGGGAAGATAGTACAGGTATTTGACTGACAAGGATTAGTGTGTGCAGAGCTCATCGGAGAAGTGAAGGATTTGGGTGAAGACCCGACCTATTGTAGTTGACCATGCAGAAGAGAGGGAGAAAGAAATGAAAGTGGGGGCAAGGCTAATATTGGTGGGTAAAGCATGTGAGGAAGAGCATAAGGAGATCCAAGCTGTACCATCAGCTGACTATACAAGGCCTCAAGGGCAAGGAAGAGATGTTAACATTTGATTAGGTGGAAAAGTCCATTTGAAAGAAGTTGTACACAGCAACCCTGGGACTTGGGGGAAACAGAAGACTCGGGATTTGACATAACTTCAACGTGTGGTGTAATAGCCTCCTGCTGCGAATCAGACAGATGTGCTTCAGTTTTTGTGTATATTATATTAATACTGTTTTCAAATACACAAACTAATAAAAGTGCAGGTTACTGTTTCTCTTTTTTACTTTGTTATTAATTCCTTACTCCCTCTTTCCAGTACCTTTCTGTATATAGCTGGTGGATTTCCTCCATTCTGCACTGTTTTGTACTAAACAATTAACAGTTTAAAATTCATCTGCTTATTTCCATCTACTGGGTTCTCATTTCTTCAGTATAATTGTTTTTTCCCTTTAAGATTACTTGATTTCCTCTTTGTGGGGAATTGTAATTTGCACTTACTGGGCCCAATCCTGTGAGATATCGAGTACTTTGTAGTCCAGTTGACTTCAATAGTTTAGGGTGCTCAAGACCTTTAATAGCATCATAGTCCTAATCACTAGCTGGGGACAAATAGCCATGCCTCGCTTAGTTCCTGTCCATTTCTGCAGGGCCCTTTTATTTCTTTGTGAAGATAATAAAGAAGGTGTAAAAGTAACACAAACACCCATTTGGTGAAGAGTAGTTACTGAGCAAGCCCTTCCCCCAACTTGGGTGGTGGTGGTGGTGGTGAATCCACAAGGCCTGCCTACAGCTTCCTGCTCTAGGCCTTGGCTACACTGGCGCTGTACAGCGCTGCAACTTGCTGCGCTCAGGGGTGTGAAAACGCCCCCCCCCGAGCGCAGCGAGTGCAGAGAGCTCTCGCAGCGCTGGTGGCGCGACTACACTCGCGCTTCACGCGCTGTGAATTCCCAAGTGTAGCCAAGGCCCTAGGTATAAGAGTGTGTGCTCCCTAATTTCCCCCACCCTCCCACGGAGCTGGGTCCTCCTTTATATTGTTCAGCTGAGAGCATGGGCCATTCATGAAGTACTGCTCAGCTCCATCAGCTGATTCCCAGCACCTGCCTGCTGGGCTTCTCTCTGGAGCAGTCAGCTTTGCTTGAGCCATTAAAGAGGTCATCTTCTGTCCCCATTTTAATGAGGATTTCTCCCTCTCGCATAGCATGCCCTGTACCAACCTGTGGTCCTGGACATCCCAAGCTAGTAGCTGAAGCCTGACTTACTGCTGCTTCTGCTGGAACAGATGCTGCTGTATTTGTAGCTGCTGCTGCAGCTATGGCAGGATCTGCTGCGGCTGCTGTTGCTCTCCCACCCATTTCATGAGAGCTTCAGGAGCCATGCTTCTCTCTGAGCAATGGCAAGCTATGCCTGCATTGTTCGCTACATATAGGCTGGTAGGTCCTGATCATCAGCTGGGGACAAATGGCCACACCCAGCTTTCCTCAGGGCTCTGTTTATTCTCTTTACAAAGAAAGAAAGAAAAATGTGCACAAGTAACACAGACAACCATCTGGTGAAGGGTTCAGACTGGGGGCCTCTGTAGCTACCAAGCAGGCCCTGCCTACAATCAGCTGCTCTGATTACAGGAGAACAGGGAAACCGAAGGAAGAGAGTGCACTTTCTCATGGCGCTGGGCCCTCCTTTATATTGCTCAGCTGACAGCCTGGGCCCAGCGAGGTACCGTTCAGCTGCAGCCACAGATTCCCAACACCTGCCTGCTGGGCTGCTCTCTGGAGCAGGGTCAGCTGCGCCTTGTCCTGCTTCCTCCAGTCACTTAAAGGGCAGATAGCCCTGTTACAAGCATCACGAGAGAAAACAACGGAATTCCTGTTGACTGGATGATGGAAACAGAACATCCAAGAACTCTGTATGTTCACTAAGGAATGAGTAAGGCCTTCAGACGTCACGGTGCTGGGTGATGTATGAAACAGAAAGATTTCAGCTGGGGACCTCAAATTACACTTTTGCTTTACAAACTTTAATTATCCCTCCCAATAGCTTTGTGAAGTGAGAAAGAAATAGTGATTATTTCACTCACCTCTGCCATGAAAAGCTAGGGATGAACATAACTGTTTAGCAGCACATGGTAATGTGACATACACAATGGTTTAGGGCTGGACGTGAAGAATTCACTTCCCCTTTTAGTACTCATGAGTACCCAAACAATCCCCAAAAGTGCTGGAGAAGTCTAGATATGTAAAATACACTTACCCAGCTAGAAGTTAGTCAGACACCAGTAAAGTGTCTCCTCTCTCTTGCCTCAAGATGCCCCTAGGTGTCTTTAATGATTGCAAGCAGGTACAACCTCAGTTTTACATGTCATCCAAAATAGAGCATGGCCACTCACACAGTCTCCTTACACTGTCCTGGGGCACTGATTTCAAGACAGAGTCTAAGAAAGAGCTACATCTACTGAATCACCAGCATCATTTCCTGTTATAACTAAGTGTTTTTTGGAGGTTTACCCAGCCAAACCAATGTAGTTTGTGAGCTATGATAGGGTCACAGTACAAGGCAGTGTGATTGCAGACCAAATATTATTATTAAGTAAGGCCTGAATTAAAGTTTTGTTTTCCAGAACACTAAAGGAAGGTGTCCAAGTTATGTAGCTGTGACTTTATGCATGTTACTGAAAACAATAAGTTGACCTTGAGGTATAGCAATGCGTTTTCCAATTCAATTACTCCTTGCTTTATTTTAGCTGATTGTAAAATATCAGAACCATTAGGAAAGGGAAAGATAATAGGACAGAAAATATCATAATGCCACTATATAAATCCATGGTATGCCCACACCTTAAACACTTGTTCTGGTCACCCCATCTCAAAAAAAAGACATTAGAATTAGGAAAAGTACAGAGAAGGGCAACAAAAATGATTAGGAGTATGGAACAGCTTCCATATGAAAAAAGATTAAAAAGACTGGGACTTGTCAGCTTGGAAAAGAGATGACTGAAAGGGGATATGATAGAGGCCTATACAATCATGAATGTTGTGGTGAACGTGAATAAGGAAGTGTTATTTATCCCTTTACATAATACATGAACCAGGAGATGACTAATTAAATGAATAGGCAGCAGGTTTAAAAAAACCAAAAGGAAGTACTTCTTCACACAATGCACAGTCAATCTGTGAACCTCATTGCCAGAGGAGGTTCAAAGGCCAAAAGCATAACTGGGTTCAAAGAAGAATTGGGTAAATTCATGAAGGATAGGTCCATCAATGGCTATTAGCCAAGATGATCAGGGATGCAACCCCATGCTCTGGGTGCCCCTAAACCTCTGACTGCTAGGCACTAGACCTGGGAAGTCAGGGTGTGGAGCACTCCATAAACTGCCCTGTTCTGTTCATTTCCTCCGAAACATCTGGCACCGACCACTGTCAGAAGACAGGATACTGGGCTAGATGGACTATGGCCATTCTTGTGTTCTTACCAACTGTTATGTATAAACGGGAGAATTGTAGCCTAAAAATTATTGTGTATAAAGCAGTTATAATGGTGCATTCTTCTACCTTAGAACAAAGAAATATCCTGTGCAGTTTAAAAGCTAAGTTGAGGACAGTCTCCCTTCGATGATGTAAACAGTGCTATGGAAATTTACAAATATTTACACTGCTGAGGATACACAACTTTTGAGACAGTCAGTGAATTTTCTTGCCTTTCCATGACTCAATACTAGATGGCAGTGCTGATGCACTTAAAATGCTGCAGGTACCTTGAAGTCAGGGCCGGCTCCAGGCACCAGCTTAACAAGCAGGTGCTTGGGGCGGCCAAGGGAGAGGGGCGGCACCTGCGGCAATTCGGGGGCGGCAGGTCCCTCACTCCCTCTAGGAGTGAAGGACCTGCCGCTGAACTGCCGCAGGTGTTTTTTTTTTTTTTCATGCCAAGAGGCAGAGTGGTTGCATGGACTTCCGTGACTCTTCATTCAGTTAGTTTGTTGCAGTGAAGCTGCCCTTGCATATGATGCTTTATATGAAACAGTCATGCCCCATTTAACAGCTGTTTAGTCACTTAGTTTGCTAAGCAGGGCAATGGTGTGTACCATGTTAACAGGATTAATCTGTTTGCCAAAGCACCTCATCTATTATCAGGTTACTTCCATGCTACATTCAGGAGCACACAGAATCATTCAGCCCATTTTTCAAGGCAGGGTGCAACTCTGCTAGACAATGATTATTCCGATGTATGACAAGGACATTGTTAAGTCTTTTGTGACAAATTTTTGCCCTTCTAATGACGTGTTTGAGTGGAGCACTGTATTTAATACCTAGAGAGCTCTCTTTATTAAGCAGTGGCAGAACAGAATTGAAATGGCTCAGTGCTTTTTTCTAGACTTGAAGTAACAAAACCACCCAAATTTCAACTCTTCCATGCAGACATATTTCAATAATCTTCTCTCATACTTTCATAGCATGCGACATCCGTTTGAGTGATAATTAGCACACAGTGTAATATCTCCCTTATGTTTAAAACTGGGCATCACAAAGCTTTCACACCATTCATCAGGCATTTTCTCTTTCTTAAGAATATCACTGAACAGAATTGTAAAATATTTGATGCCTTCCCTTCCCAGTGCATCCACTCGTACCTCTTCCGGCTCAGGTGCTCTCTCCTTTTTCATTTTCCTAAATAACTCTACAACCTCATACTCCTATCATGCCTCAGTTCGTCTTACATGGTCCTCCGCTGGGTTCTTCTCATTCATCACTCATTCAAAATAGTCTCGTTTAAAGATTTTTTTCATTCCCATCTCTAAGTTTCCACCACTGAGGCCTTTCCGGTGCCGGGGGTTCAGACGTTTCTGAGGTCTGTGCATTCTGAAGTCCATAAGAAGTCTGTGCTGGTTCACCATGCACTTGCCAGGTGTTACCTTACAATTGATTATTTGTGATCTATTGCTTCTTCTCATTAAGCAGAAATCAATTTGGGATTTGTGTCCTCCACTGGCATAAGTTATGAGGTGGCAAGCCCTCTTCTGAAAGTGTGTGTTTGCAATCACTACATCCAATGCCAGACAAGTTGGAGGGCTATTTCTCCCTCGGAATTTCTGGTTCCAATGTCATGGATGGTTTCATATCTAGTCTTCACAGTTCCAACACGTGCATTTAGATCTGCTCTGATTATCATTTCTCATGTTTCCAATAAGGCACA